CGCCCACACACCCACACAGTGAACACACGCACACACGCACCCACACACCCGCCCATATACTCACACAACAAACACACGCCCACACACCCACAGTGAACACATGCACACACACGCCCACACACCCGCCCACACACCCACACAGCGAACACGTGCCCACACATGCCCACACACGTAGCCACACACCCACACAGCAAACACATGCACACAGATGCCCACATTGCAAACACGCGCACACACACAGAGCGAACACGCGCACACACTCACCCACACACCTGCCCACACTCCCACCCAGCGAGCATGCGCACACATGTGCCCACTCAGCCACACAGTGAACACATGCACACACCCACAGTGAACACGCGCACACACACACCCACACACCCGCACAGTGAACATGCGCCCACACACCCACACAGTGAACACATGCACACACATGCCCACACACCCACACAGCGAACACGTGTACACACACAGCGAACATGCGCACACATGTACCCACACACCTGCCCAAACGCACAGCAAACACATGCACACACACGCCCACACAGTGAACATGTGCCCACACTCTCAGTGAACACGCACCCACACACCTGCCCACACACCCAGCGAACACAAGCACACACGTGCCCACATTCACACAGCGAACACGCGCCCACACACACAGCGAACATGCACACACATGCGCCCACACACCCACAGTGAACACACGCACACACGCCCCCCCACACATTGAACACGCATACACACACAGTGAACATGCGCACACATGCACCCACACAGCAAACACAAACACACACGTGCCCACACAGTGAACACACACACACGTGTCCACACACTCATACATTAAACACACATGTACCCACATACACAGTGAACACACACATGCCCACACACACAGTGAACTCGCCCACACGCACCCACACACTCACACAGTGAATATGCACACACACATGCCCACACACACAGTGAACAGGCACACATGTGCCCACACACTCACACAGTGAACACGTGCACACACATGCCCACACACTCACACAACCGCTGTGGCCTCTTCCTCCCACAGTTGCTGATGAGGCAGCAGAGCCATGGAAACAGTAAGATCAGGATCAGGATTCCATACAGAATAAGCATCTCTGGGTTACGACCCAAGGAGATCTGAGTTCTGACCCCAATTCAGTTGCCCTCCGGCATGAGTCACTGGCCCATCCCCCATGCTTCGGTATCCCCATCAATAAAATTGGAGTAGCGTATGCCCTGCTTGACTCAGAGGCTTGTCATGAGTAACAAATGAATTAACAGATGTGATGGGGTTTTTATAAGGTGGAAAGGTCAAGCTTTTAAAACAGGCTTGGGCTGCTCTATATGGGTTGGGTGGGTCCTGAAAGTGCTGTCCTCTCCCTCTGCTAGAGAAAGCTGGGCCTTTGGTTGCTGGTTGGGCAGAGCCAGGAAGTTCCTGGGGTCACATACTGCCATGCCTTTGGGTTTGACATTGGCTCCTTAGAGTGACGGCAAAGACTAGAAGCCTCACGTCGATGGGTTTGTTCTCCTGGGCAGTGAGCCTGAGTCCCTGCTGAGCTTGAGACCCTCGGGCACCAGGGTGTGCCCTGGATGATTCTGCTCACCCTTTGGCCCAGGTGTTCTCCCTTTTCCCGTCTGTGCCTCTCAGTACCTCCCTCAGTCTTTCTTCCTATAGATCCTGAATGCTGGGGCTCGCTTTACTCCCAAACCCATGAAGGCATGAGGGAAAGATCCCAGTTAATCCTCTCAGGGCCGAGCGCTGGATCAGTGCCCTAGATTTGACCCAGGGCCTCTGAGCTGTGGCAACTCAGGAAGCTACCCTCCTCGGGTACCTACCCGGTTCTCTGGAGCAGGCCCTACCAGGTGGCTGCCCATCCCACAGTAAGGACAGATGAAATGTTGAAGGCTCTTGATGGGGTGGGAAGAGGGAAAGTGAAAGGAGTTTTGGGGAGCCATCATGGGATGAGCTGGAGACGGAGAATGGCAGCAGGCAGGCAACACCACTTCTCAGGGGCCACTGTGTACAAGACATGCTGGCCCGTCCCCAGCAAAAGCAAAGCCAGTGTTGGGCCACTGCACTTAGCCTTGAGCTGCAACATGAAGGCTGAGACCCCAGAGCTACAACTTGGCTTAACTTGTTCCTCCTCACCAAGCTGAAGCTTACTGCCTTGGGTGTCGTTTTTCTCACTGTGCAGGAAGGGAGGGAGCCAGTATTTAGTGAGCATTTACTATGTGCTAGGCATTGTGCTAGGTGCTTGCGTGTACTGTAGTTCATGGATAGAGGGATCTGTGGGGAGAAGAAGAAAATCCTCCGATGTCTCTTTTAAAAACCACTCTCCCTTCATTTAATACAGACCACAGTTTAATAGGAAAATACCCTCTGAAGGAGGTATTAGCTCAGACTGAGACGCTAATGATGGACATAATGAGCCTTCCTAAAGAAGAGATTTTGATACGGGGAGCAAGGGAGAAAATGGCACCAGAACTGAGTCCCTGAAGTTCGTAGGAGGTTTGCAGAAAAGGGAGGGGCCACCAAGACAGGCATGGGCCAGCCACTTGAACTCTGATACTCCCCTGTGCAAAGCTAACCTTTCAGATCAGCATACAAAATTCAGAGCTGAGCACACTGCCCTGAGCATGGAAGGCCTCCACATATATCTCTTGAGTAGAAGGACTCACCCAACATTGCTTCCAGGTGGTTTCACCAGCCATTCTTCCAGACAGTAAGGTAGACTGATGGCCAATCTGACTTGGCTGTCATCAGACACCATTAAATGCCCAGGCCACATAGGTGTCCATGGGGCCACTTGAAAGTGGGTGTTAAGAAGGGAAATGAAAACCAGGGGGCAGGTATGCTGGCTCCTTAGATGAAAGCAGCTTCAGGACACTTGTCCAGAAAGACACTCACACATCACAATTATTTTCTAAGCTCGTGAGCAGGAGAGATCTGCCCAAGAACATGGCATGCTGGGGATCTGCTTGGCCTGCTGTGGTGGGCGTGCTGTCCACTAAGAGTGAGGTGGCAAGATGCAGGGAGGCATGTCCTCTCCCACCCAGCCTTGGGAACCCAGAGCTATTGATAGAAACAGGGAGGAGACCCTTTAGGCCCAGGCTGTGCTTCCAGAGGCCTAGAGCACGGCAGTAGGCACCTACCGTCCCATTATACCATAGCAATGCATCCTGGAGCACCAGGGAGCAGAGGGTGGGGAGAAAAGCATGCATCAGGTGGTGGGAGATCAAACTACCAGGAATGATCCTACACTGGGGCAGAATGGGCAAGCGCTACGGTGAAGGGCCTCTTGCCACCAAAATGCCCCTCCCAAGAGGGTTGAGAAGGGTGTAAAGAAGAGGTGGTAGCTCCATTCCCATCCCAACTAGGCCAAAGGCCAGGTTTGTGCAGACTTGGGAGAGGCCGGGGGAACAGAGTCTGTTGTGTAGCCAGGATGCCAGCATCCCAGGGGGCGGGGGCCTGGGCTCCTCAGCTTGGGTAGCATGAGAGAGCACAGGAGGCTCTGTCCCGCGGTGTGCATCACAGGACACTTGAGGCCATCGGGACCATGGTGCCTTCCCCCAATGGCGGCTGCCACATTTAATCGAGGGCAAGATCGGGAGGCCTATCTCTTGGTGGGATCTGAGGCAGCAGCCTCCAACCCAGCTCGAGGGGTGAGTGGTAGGCCTGGGGGCCAAACTCTACCCCCCATCCAGTCTGGGCTGGAGTGTGTGGGGCCCCTGTGCACGGTCCCTGGATGCCCCACCCTCCTGCTTACCTCTTGGAGCTGAGCTTCCAGGCTGCCTCCTGTACCCGGACGGCAGGAGACAAGGGGGGCCCACGGCCCTCTACGGTGCTGACCGCGCTGGGGTAGCCAGCGGGGCAGGGGAAGCGGCCCAGGGCAGTGTTGTTGGCATTGTTGATGTTGGCGTTGGAGCCAGTGGACGAGTAGCTGCTGGGGGTGAAAGTGGAGTCCACCAGTTTCTCGTGGGACGGCGACCCGGTGTCGCCTTGGCTGTTAGCCGCCTTGTTGATGTGCAGTGGGCGCTGGGTAGTGAAGGTCTGGGGGAAGGCGCTCCGGCCGTCGCTTTGGTAGCAGCTGACGTGGTTGCCGAACAGGCCGCCGGCCCTCTGTGGGCGAGACAGGAGGGGTGGGAGGAGGAGAAAGCCCTCTCAGCTACCTCTCCTTCTTGGCCAAGGCATGGAAGGCTGTCTGCCTTCCAGAGAGCACAGCCATGCCGGGCAGTACGGGGCGGACGGGGAGCTCTTGGCCCACGTGGCCTGGCAGCTGGAGGGGAGGGACGCAGACGGTCCCCTCTGAAACCGCTGGGGGGCCGGTGAGGGACAGGACCAACCAGGCACGAAGGCTGCTGCCCTGGGACTTTCTACCGAACCCCCTGAGGACTCAAGAACCAGTGTAGGATGGCAATCCTTAGTTGCAGCCAGTCGCTCACTCGCCTTGGTGGCTGTGAGGCACTGGGAGGGCTGAGGGATGGGGAAAGGGACCAGGAGATTCTAATGAGAATTTTTAAAACGGAGATCCAACTGGCTCACTGAGCTAGAAACTATGTTGGCCAAACGGTTTTGAAAATAAGGATGACGCATTGACTCCATTAATTATATTATGGCCTTCTCTCCCCCGGGCAATTCTTAGAGATTTCAAATCAGGACCCAGTGTTTGCCCCCAACATTCTTTCCTTGTCCTGGGGCGAGTGGGCAAGTAGCTATCTGCAAGTTGGTCTGTGGGGTCTCGCTGGGGAAGTGAGAGCATGGTGCTGTGTCCCTGAGGCCATTCGGTGATGGACATTTCACAGTGATGAGGATGAGGATGGTGATGACAGGGCAGCCACAGGCCAGGCAGGCTGTCCTCCCTCCCGGTGTCTCCACAGCCCAGGACCCCTGCGTGGGGGCTCGCAGGGCCCTGGCGCGATGCTGCTTGGTGGCTTCTCCCTTGCTTCGGAGGTATTTTAGCCAAATACCTTCGGGGTTCGGCAGGGATCACCATGAATGGAGAGAGCAAGTCAGGTTCGGTTTCCACCGAAAAACGGATGCTCAGCCTCCATATCCAGGAAAGGAGAGGGAAGGAAAGCTGGAGGGGACTTTTGTGACTGGGAGAACACGTGCTTTCTCTTAAGAGGACAATTGCCCCTGGGCTCCGCTCCTCTGCTGCCACGTGGGAACACAAGCCAGATTCTCTGATTTTTAAAAGACAGGTCAGAGGTTTAGGTTTTTATTTGAATGTGCCGGATTTCTGAATGCTGGCAAACAAAATCTGTCTGCAGGTTAGATGCAGCCAAAAGTGGCCCCACGGCTTTGCAGCTTCTAATGCAGAAGGTTCTCCTAGGAAACATGTCCCTTAAGAAAATGGCTCCTCCCCTCTTTCTCCGAGAGCCAGGGACACTCTGGGAGCTGCCATGTCCTGGGAGCCCAGGCTTGAGATGGAATCACACTTGGAGAAGGCCGAGGGTTAGGAAGTAGCTGAGTAGGAAGAGCCTGGAATCTGCCAGAGAGCTCAGGGCTTTCTCCCTGGATTTCCTTGGCAGAGCGCCAGCCCACCCTCCTGCTTCCAGCTGAGCTTTGTAAAGGTAAGAGTGCTTCTGTGGCATCCACCTACCCTGAAGATGTCGTCTTCGGAGGCAGCAGACACAGCCTCCTTCATGGCCTTGTCCAGCTCCTCCTCGGCCGTCAGATCTCCAGAGATGGCCCGTCGGATCTCAGGCCCGATGTCATGCAGCGTGCGCAAGCCAGCCTGAAACCCAGAGGGACACCCAGCCGCCTGACCCGCTGCCTCCCCATTAGGCAGGTGAGCCTGCTGAGGGTTTATCTGTGTGTGCTAACCAGGGATGTGCTTCGGGACCTCCCTTGTCTGCCCCAGACTGGAAGAATCCATTTCTCCACCCAGGAAGGATAAAGGCACATTAGGAGCGGTCATGAAGCAGGCAGGACTGGCGAAGCAGGGTGTGTGGGAGGCAGTGTGTCACCCCTTCACACACACACCTTTGGAAAGGCTTGGAGCTCCCTGAAAGTTCTGGAGGGACCTGGCCTCTGACCCTTGGCCAGAGGTTGGAAGAAGGTGACCAGGCCCTTCCTTAGGGTGTGGACCCCCTCCTCGCCTCTTACCTGCAGGGATAGGGCGTTCCTCTGGGAGGGTTTGCCCACCAGGCCCTGCTCTTTGCGCTTCTTGAATTTCCGGAAGTACTCCTGGATCAGGAAAGTAGCATAAAACTTGCCAACCGTGACCTCGTCATCTGAGACAGAAGAGAGGACAGAGGGGAGGTAAAGGGGGTAATTCAGTTGGGCTTCATTCACTTTTTTTTCAGCATCCAAGCTTTCCGAAGTTTTTTAAACTTTTTTTTTTTTTAAGAGGTAGTCCATTCACATGGTTCAGAAAGGCAAAAATATATTACAAAGTGTACAGTGAAAAGTCTCCCACCCCCCCATCCACCGAGTTACCACCTTTTAATAGATAACCTTTCTAAAATTAGTTTCTTTTCTTTTTTTTTTAAAAGATTTTATTTATTTATTTGACAGAGAGAGAGAGTTAGCGAGAGCAGGAACACAAGCAGGGGGAGTGGGAGAGGGAGAAGCAGGCTTCCCGCTGAGCAGGGAGCCTGGTGTGGGGCTCGGATCCCAGGACCCTGGGATCATGACCTGAGCTGAAGGCAGATGCTTAACAACTGAGCCACCCAGGCGTCCCTCTAAAATTAGTTTCTTGAGTATTTTTCCAGAGAGTCTTTCTGCAAATGCTTTCTGCAAATAAGCAAACATATTCTTAGCCCCTCTCTCTTTTTTTTTAACAGTAGAAGTAGCCTATTATCAAAATTATTTCCCACCTTGCTTTAAAACCAACAAAAAAGTGTAAAAAAAACTTTAAAAAAGTAAAAAAAAAATTAACTGACATGGCTAACTAATTTTTTATTTGAATCCAAAACTTGAGGTGCCCATCATAAATTGACTAGTCCCCTAAGTGCAAACAGTTCTGGTTAAAGATGAAGTTTGGTGGAAGGAGCACCTTTCTTCTCTAAGTTTGGGTTTTGCTTTCAAACCAGACAGACTGGTTTTTCTTACCATGTGGCTTGGCTGGATCCCTGCTGGGCTAGACCCCCAAGTTACACATGACATAGTCAGCCTCTGTGTTGGGAATGAACCAGGTGGTGGAGAAGCCAAAGAGTCTCCAAGGAGAACATTGCATGCCCTGTGAGTAGCCTCTTGGCTCCATCTTCTTCTCAAGGAAATGGGCCCAGGAGACAGTTGGTAGGTTAGACATAGGGGCCTGTGATGGTTCTCTTACTCCTAGTTGTCTCTTAAGAATAGCCAAGTCCACAGCAGTGGTGACCTTCCACAGGGCAAACACCTCATTCCCATGTGGGAGAGAAAACCTGAGTCCCCCGTCTAGGGTAGCCAGTGAGGAAGAGCTGCAGGGCAGAAAGAGCTTGGAGTTCTGGTGTCCTCCAGGCCTGGGTTTGAATTCTCAATTTGCCAGGTACTTACCCTATAGCATTGGGTCAGCTACATAGCTTCTAAGTACTTCAGTTTCTTGAGCAAACTTCACAGCAATGTTATAAGGATTAAATAAGGTATGCAAAATGTCATGTGGTGCTTGGCCTGTCTAGGTGACTTTTCACTGAGTTCCAGTCCTGATTCCCTTTGGGAAGTGGTTCTCAACAGGGCCGGTGTCAACATTAAGAAGTGTTTTGGGAATGTGTGGGATTTTTTTGGTTGTCACAGTGTGCTACAATCGTTAGGTGGTTCCAGATGTGTCCCTTAAAACACAGGCATGTTTTGCACAACAAATAATAGATTTACACTCTGCCTGATGTCCTTACCTGAGCTAAGAACCTAACTTCATTTTACATATGAACAGAAAATAATTTTTTTGCCTGGTTTTAATATATCCAGAATTTCCCAGGTATATAACTGCTAGGTAAATTGATGGATGACCATACTTTGCTTTGTTTCCACTTGACCAAGAAGGCTTTACATTTTGGAAAATTGTATCCCTGATGGCAATGCTCCTTGTGGTATCTGAGTCACCTGTTGCATCTGACCCGCTTATATCAGTCTGCATTTGTTCTATGTATGTGCATGTACGTGCGTATACCTATGTGTGTATATTATATTATTTAATATACTTAGTTACCCCTTACTTCAAAATGACAAATACAAAATGTCAACAATAGTCAATATTGTCTTAGTTCCTTTAAACACAAACTTACTCATCATAAGTGGATGCATGCAAGTATTTTATCAGTTAACTGTAGCTTCTGGCATAGTGCCATAACCCTTAGTGCCCAAGCGTGCATATATTGAAAAACATTTGACTTTAATGTATTTTATATTAAGGTGTTATATATGTATGTTTTTAAAGATTTTATTTATTTACTTGAGAAAGAGAGAGAGAGCATGAACAGGAGGGTGGGCAGAGGAAGAGGGAGAAGCAGGCTCCTTGCTGAGCTGGGAAGCTGATGCGGGGTTCAATCCCAGGACCTCGGGGTCATGACCTGAGCTGAAGGCAGTCACTAAACCAACTGAGCCACCCAGGTGCCCCAAGTTAAGGTGTTATATTAATATTTTGGAAACTATATCTGTAGGAAGGTTATAATTTTCATTCAGGATAGTAATAGGGGCATTATAAACTGTTATGAAAAGGGGCACTGGGTTTGAGAGAGTAGAGAAACACTGTCCTAGGGCGCCTGGGTGGCTCAGTTGGTTAAGCGAGAAACACTGCCCTATATAAAACAAAAAGAATTTCAACCAAGAGTGGATCTCAGGGGATTCTTTTTCCAGGTCCCCATTATTTCCAGAGCAACCAGCCTAGTAATTTATGGGGAAACCTATACTTTGCAGAGTTTCCTTGGCAGTTCTGCTAAACCTCTGAGCATCAAGGGGCCTTGCTTAGTCTATGAAATGTATGGTTAGACCAGATTTCCAACCTGACATTCTGTATCTGAGTTTGTGAAGGCATGGTGCCCTTGTCCCTTCCAACCAGTAGGGCCTTGGAACTGCACAGGAAGGGCGGGAGGGAAAGCAGTCTTCCCACGAGCCTCGTGGACTCAGGAACCAGGCAAGAACCAAGGGTTTGGAGATCGTGGGAGCACTCACCACCTGCTGGGGGCACTACTTGGTCCAGCAGCTTCATGCTGGTCCGCTTCCAGATCTTCTTGATTATGGCCCGCAGCTCCTCGTTGGCTTGTTCTAGGTTTCCTGAGGGGAGGGAGATGCAAGGCTGAAAACGATCATCAGCCCTTTGGGGGCCCATGGGGTGGGTCCCCCTGAGCAGAGTGGGAAGCCGCCACCCCACAGAAAGCCCTGGTCCATCAGCTTCACTTTCTTTCTCTCCATTCGACCAAATGTCACCTCCATCTTCTTTTTCTTTGTATTGCTCTCCATGGTCCTACCTCTCCCTCCCGCCGTTCCTTGTCCAGTGCCATTCCTTCTCCCTTCCTTCCTGCCTGCTGCTCAGGCCAGCCAGTGGCGATCCTTCATCCCCACACGCTGCTTCCTCATGAGTGGCCCTCGGAGCGGACCAGACAGCTTGGCCCAACTGAACTCATCCACCACCTGCCAGAGAGCAGGAGGGGCTGCTCTGGTGCACAGCACTTCTCACGGGGCTCTATGGGTGATCGAGGTTTTCCCCACACAAAGCATCCATACGCAGGGGGACCTCGGTGTCAAAGCTCTTTGCTGCATGTCCTGTGGGGAAGAGGTAGCAAAACCTCAGTGTAGAAGCTGGACTCAAAACACACTGGGTTCTGTTTTGGAGCTTCTCTGGGTTTACTTTCTCCACTGGTAAAACAGGCTTAATTTGCTGCCGATCCCGTGCAGCCTCTGGGACACTGGTGGTATAGCAGCTGTAAGACAGGGTGTGGTGGGCAGTAGTGTAAGACCCCCTGAGCTATGTCCCACCACCACTGATATACACACCTTGCCTGGTCCCTGGTGGGTCCATGGTCCCTGGACTATAATGGATTTTACCCCATGATTATTAGATCATGTGGCTCCTATCTCCTTAGGATAGGGAGATTATCTAGGTGGACCTGACCTAATCACATGAACTCTTCAAAAGTAGAGAGTTCTCAGGTGCAAACCTATAGTTAGAAAATAAATAAATCATGGGATGCAATGTACAGCATGGTGACTATGGCTAATAAAACCATACTACATGTTTGATAGTTGCTAAGAGAGTAAGTCTTAAAAGTTCTCATCACACACAAAATTGTAACCATATGGTGACGGACATTAATCAGATTTACTCTGGTGATCATTTCTTTATATATACAAATATGGATCATTATGTTGTACATCTGAAACTAATATAGTGTTATATGTCAATTATACTTCAATACAAAATACAAACAAAACGAATAAAAAAGTACCACATGAAGGAGGTCAAAAGATAAAAGTATAGAGTTGTCCCCAGTTGGGAGCAGAGGAATGCGAGAGGACGGTTGTGGCCTGGGAGAAAGCACACATCAATGTTGTGAATTGAATGGAGAGAGGCAGCCCCTGGGGGCTCAGTGGTCCCCAGCTGAGAGCCAGTCTTACAATGGCAAGACATGAATTCCTCCAAAAACCCGAATGAGCTGGGAGCCTCTGGAAGAGGACATATCCTGATCAGTGTCCTGATTTTGGCTTTGTAAGACACTTAGCAGAGAACTCAGGTACTCCATGGCTGTATCCCTGACCTATAGAACTGTGGGTTAACAACTAGGTGTTGTTCAAACCGAAGAATTTGTGGTAATTGGTTCCACAGCCATAGGAAACCAATACAGGGGTGTTTACTGCTGTTACACAGGGGAAGCAGTACGGTTGAGAGCTCTGCTGTTAGACTGTCTGAGGTGAAATCTGCCCTGTGGCCACACCAGAGAGGCACCCAACAGGAGTAAGCAGAGGTGGCAATGGAGGGAGAGTGATGGACTCCTGAATCCCCTGTTGGATCCAAACAATACCTGGAGCCGGAGGACGATCCTGGGCATTCCAGTTATGGAGGCAATCCTGCATGGTTAAATTCCCTTCCTGGTTAAGGTAGTTAGTGGTTTCCGACATATTCAATGAGAGTCCTAATTAAAATAATGCTCAAATATGCTTATCTTCTGTAGTGGGTTGAATAGTGTCCCCACCAAATTCATGTCTTCATACATCCTTAGCATGTAGCCTTTGTTGGAAATAGGGTCTTTGCAAATGTTATTAGTTAAGATGAAGTTATACTTTATTAGAGTGGGCCCTACATCCAATACTACTGGAGAAGACCCACAGAGATACACAGGGAAGAAGGCCATGTGAGGATGGAGGCAGAGACTGGAGTGTTACCGCTTTGGCCAAGGAAGGCCAAGCACAGCTCGCCCCCTCCAGAGAGGCATGGAACAGTTTTTCCCTTGAGTCTCCGGGAGGAACAAACCCCACCAACACTTCTCCCATGCAGCAGGTTGCCTTTTCATTATGCTGGCTTCCTTCACTGTGTGAAACTTTAGTTTGATATAATTTCACTTGTTTATTTTAGCTTTTTGTCCTTGCCTGAGGAGACTGGTCTAAAAATATTGCTAAGACCGATGTCGAAGAACTTATTTCTCCTAGGAGTTTTATGGTTTCAGGTCTTACATTTGTCTTCAGTCCATTTAATTTTTGTGTATTTTTGTATATGGTATAAGATAGCGGTCTGGTTTTATTCTTTTGCAGGTAGCTGTCCAATGTACCCAACACCAATTATTGAAGAGACTTCCTCATTGTATATTCTTGCCTCTTTTGTCATAGGTTAATTGACCATATGTGTGTGGGTTTTTTCCTGGGCTCTCTATTCTATTCCATTGATCTATGTGTCTGTGTTCATACCAGTACCATACTGTTTTGATTAATATAGCTTTGTAGTATAGTTTGAAATCATGGAGCATGATACCTCCAGCTTTGTTCTTCTTTTTTAAGATTGCTCTGGCCATTTGGATTTTTTTTGTGGTTCCATACACATTTTGAGATACTTTGTTCTAATTCTGTTAAAAATGCCATTGGTATTTTGATAGGGATTACACTGAATCTGTAGATTGGGTAGTATGGACATTTTAATAATATTAATTATTCCAATCTATGAGCACAAAATATCTTTCCATTTATTCATGTCTTCAATTTCTTTCATCAATGTGTTTTTTTTTAGTAAAGATTTTATTTATTTATTTGAGAGATAGAGAGCACACAAGCAGGGGGAGAGGCAGAGGGAGAGGGAGAAGCAGACTTCTTGCTGAGCAGGGAGCCCGAATGGGGCTTGATCCCAGGACGCTGAGATCATGACCTGAGCCGAAGGCAGATGCTCAACCAACTGAGCTACCCAGTGCCCCTCTTTTATCAATGTCTTAAATAGTATTCAGAGTACAGGTCTTTCACATCCTTGGTTAAATTTATTCATAGGTATTTCATTATTTTTGATGCAACTGTAAATGAAATTGTTTTATTTATTTATTTATTTATTTGAGAGGGAGAGAGAGCACAGAGGGAGAGGGAGAAGCAGACTCCCTTCCAAGGAGGGAGCCCGATGTGGGGCTCAATCCCAGGACCCTGAGATCATACCTGAGCCAAGGGCAGATGCTTAACCGACTGAGCCACCCAGGCACCCCTGAAATTGTTTTCTTACTTTCTTTTTCTGATAGTTATTGGTGTATAGAAACACTGATCTCCTGAGCCACCCAGGCACCCCTGAAATTGTTTTCTTACTTTCTTTTTCTGATAGTTATTGGTGTATAGAAACACTGATCTCTGTATGTTAATTTTGCATCCGATGACTTTGCTGAATTCATTTATTAATTCTAACAGATTCTGGTGGAGTCTTCAGGGTTTTCTCTATATAGTATCATGTCATCTGCAAATAGTTACAATTTTACTTTTTCCTGTCCAATTTGTATGCCTTTTATTTCTTTTTCTTGCCTACTTGCTGTGGCTAGGACTTCAAATACTATGTTGAATTAAAGTGGTGAGAGTAGACATAACTTGTCTTACTCCTGATCTTACAGGAAAAGCTAGAAGCTTTTCACTATTGAGTATGATGTTAGCTGGGGCTTGTCATATATGCCTTTATTATGTTGAGATACATTCCTTCTATACCTACTTTGTTGAGAGTTTTTCTTATCTTAAATGAATGTTGAATTTTGTCAAATGCTTTTTCTGCTTCTATTAAGATGATCATATGATTTTTATCCTTTGTTTTGTTAATGTGAGGTATCACATTGATTAATTTGTGGATGTGGAACCATACTTGCATCTCTGGAATAAATCTCACTTGATTGTGGTGTATGATCCTTTTAATGTATTGTTGAATTTTGTTTGCTAATATTTTGTTAGGATTTTTACATCTATATTATCAGATATATTGGCCTTTCTTGTGGTATCTTTGTCTGGTTTTGGTATCAGGGTAATGCTGGCCTTGTAAAATAAGTTTGGAAGACTTCCTTCCTCTTCAATCTTTTGGAATAATTTGAGAATAGGTACTAACTCTTCTTTAAATGTTTGGTAGAATTGACCCATGAAGCCATCTGGTCCTGGACTTTTGTTTTTGGGAGTTTAAAAATTACTGTTTCAATTTTATTACTTGTAATTGGTCTATTCAGATTTTCTGTTTTTGTGTGTGTGATTCAGTCTTGGAAGATTATGTATTTCTAGGAATATATCCATCTCTTCTAAGTTTTCCAGTTTGTTGGTGTATAATTGTAGTAATCTCTTAACCTTTGTATTTCTGTGGTGTCAGTTGTAACTTTTCCTTCATTTCTGATTTTATTTATTTGGGTCCTCTCTCTTTTTCTCTTGAGTTTGGCTATTGATTTTATTGATCTTTTCAAAGAACCAGCTCTTGGGATGCCTGGGTGGCTCAGTCAGTTAAGCAACTGCCTTTGGCTCAGTTCATGATCCCAGGGTCCTGGGATTGAGTCCTGCATCAGGCTCCCTGCTCAGTGGGGAGCCTGCTTCTCCCTCTGCCTGCCGCTCCCCCTGCTTGTGCTCTCTTTCTGACAAATAAATAAATAAAATATTTTAAAAAAGAACCAACTCTTACTTTTATTATCTTTTCTTTTTTTTCACAATCTCTATTTCATTTATTTCCACTCTGGTCTTTATTATTTCCTTCCCTCTACTAATGTTGGGCTTTGTTCCTCTTTTTCTAGTTCCTTTGGGTATAAAGTCAGATGGTTTATTTGGGATTTTTCTTGTTTCTTGAGGTAGGCCTGTATCATTATGAACTTCCTTCTTAGAACTTTTGTTGTATCCCACAGATTTTGGAAAGTTTTGTCTCCAATTTCATTTGTCTCAAGGTATTTT